CAACAACAGACAATTTGACTTTCAACAAGTCTATATATATTGGAAATGTCAGAAGAGAAGATGCTGGGAAATATACCTGCTGGATGAGTAGCTGTGTCGGACACAGTATTAAGCGAGTCACTATCAATTTGTGTGTAGTTACAGGTGAGAAACTAACACACAAACATCATTGTTTCATAGTAGAAGATAACCTGATGTAATCTTTTGATCTTTACTTACAGTATATGACAGTAAGGATTCATCTGCATCTTGCGATGTGACGTGCGGCATGAAATCAAATAATCCAAACAGAACTTCAACCACATCTGTGCCTGTACATCCACACGGGTCCCTTAAGTGCAATATAGATTCAGTGTTTGATGGATACACTACAGTTGCTACCACTCACACATCATCATTTAGCACAAGAACAGGTGGGTGTTTAGCCATATGCTGTTTGTGAATCTTTTTCACCCAAATCAAAGAAATATTAATATTTAGCTTTTGGTTTAACAGGTTTTCAAAAAGAGCCTGAAGACTGGATCCCACTTATTTGTGGTATATCAGTATCATGTGTCATTTTAATGGCACTTACAATTTTTTGCTTCAAATCAAGATTACATTCAGGTAGGCTATGCAGCTGCACCTCACTTCCACTTCCTGTGTACATTATTGTTTTTTTATTAAATGGTTTACTTGAAAAATTTTCCCCTCTGATTCTGAATATGCTTCTGCTTCTGTCTCACCAAAGCATTTCCTGTTCAAATTTGTTGCTGTGGCTTGAATAGCAGGGTAAGTGTCTGTGCTGACATCGAGGTGAAACCTAAAACCCTCATGCAGAAATGAAGTGTGTGCGTGTTGCTTTGTCTGGGTAATGAAATGTATTGCTTTTTACTGCAGGTGGAAGAAGAGTCTTCAGTGATTTATTCATCAATTATCATCAGGACACCGGGCAAAAGAATTAATCACATGACCTCTAGTGATTGTGTTTATTGTGAAATAAAAGTATAGAGAAAAAAGTCCAGGATAAGTGCAGTCACTTTTATTTATATAGCACATTTTAAAACAATATGGATTGGTCCAAAGTGCTTTTCAGTTGACTGTTAAAATAGGTAAGGTCATTAAAGGGCACTGGTTAGAATTATACTTTCCATCCTTGCTGTCATTTGATTTAGTAACTGATTCCTCAAATTACTTAAATTGTAACTTCACCCACACGCTTGTCAAGGGGAAAATCTGAAACCATGAGTCTTTTTTTCCAACAAAGGAATGATTTCTAATCGAATCTTTAACTTAACTTTTACCTAATTCTCTGAAGGCAGGGCGGGTGTTCTAAAGTACATGGATCGAGATAATTTTAATGAGAAGCTTTCAGTGCGATACAGATGTTATGTAACAACATTTTTTTGTTGTTGCTCAGTACAGAGGTGAGGTCCATTCATGAACTGCATGAAAGCACAGTTTCTGATTACCTTGCAGATCAAGTTAAGATAAAACAAATGTAGGTAAAGAAGTTCTTTAAAGTTGACATCAAAATGTTACGGCAATTAAATGCTGCTTTCACAAAGAGGAACATTATTAGGTACATTAATTTACTGGAGCTCATCAATTGAAACAAATTTATAAACAATTTTTTTTGTTGTTAAAAGAAAAAAAATACTTTTTACGCTAAATTTATTTTACAGCTGTATTTTGTCTTGCAGTTTTAGGTTTTACATAATCACCATATAAAATATGACCACAGTAAAAAAGCATCTAAGCAAAAGGTTGCATAAAGAAGGCTGTTAAAAGTGTTAAAACCACAGCAGTACTGCGTCTGCAGTGTTAATCAATAATGAGCATCAGTGATAGTAAAACAATAACACCCTGCAGACAAAAGGTTGTTGTACGATTATTACTGTGAGCAATATGTGTGTTCATACTGTGAGGACATTCTGCTGAGGATAGTCACTGAAAATAATATTTTGGATTCTTTTATTTGTTAAAGTGTTTTATGCAAAGTAAAGTATACAAAAAAGTGAAAACAATAGAAAAATAGTCTTAAGAAATAAACCAAAACTCACTAAATGTGTTTTTTAAAAAAGCAACAGACATTAAAGAAAATAAAGGAAATGTTTTAACTTTTGGTGTTTAGTCAAAGATGGAAACAAAGAGGAGGCTGTGGTGAAAATGACTGAGTCAAATGTGTTGTACTGTACTGTTTTACTTATATTTGACCTATGTCACTAATACCACCCACATCATAAAAACAAAAACTCAGACACAGAAACTAATAAAATGTAAACTTAACATTTAACAATTAAAAACCAAACTGAAATCAGAAAATCCACCCTGAAAACTAAAATAACATCAAATTCAAAGGTGGAAAATCCTAAACTAAAATAACAATGGCAGTGTTAATAGCAGTCATCTCCGCATAGCCTAAATTGAAAACAATTTGAGTACCTCACCCACTTTTTTTATACACAACACCAACCCACAGAGTCAGACAGGACATGACACACAGGACAAACCACTACATCACGATCTGTCATTGGTGGCGGTGTGCACAGCTCTAATGAAAACAAACCCAAATAAGGCAGCTGGCCCAAATAATATCCCCAGGCATGCACTCAGGGTCTGCTCATAAAAGCTGGATGGTGTATTCATAGACATATACAATCTGCCCATCCTTTAAGTCCATCACCAGTGTGCCCCTCTCTAAGAAACATACTGGTAGTGGATTTAAACGACTATCATCCTTTTGGACTCACACCAATCATGATGAAGTATTTAGAAAGGATCAAAAAGACTGTCCTGGCTACCATGGACTCTTTACTTTATGCATGTGCGTGTAACACCACAGTGCATCAGTCTACTAGTGAGTCACCATTTGCTCTGATGTTTGGCTGAGATCGCCAGCTACCTGTTGAGTTTTTGTTGGGTAGGATTCAGGAGCCTGTGGTTGGTAGCACCCATCATTGGATTGCAGAGCATCAGACTCGGCTATGTCATGCTTTTGAACATGCTAATAAACGCTTGGAGGCTGCAGCTATTTGGCGTATGACATGTCACAACCAGCATGTGAGGGATGCTCCCCTGCAAGAAGGTCAGTTGACTTACCTTAAGGAGGTTGGGCTTAGAGGCCGTCATAAAATTTAGGATGTTTGGAGTTCAGTGGTGTATCAAGTGCTACAGGCCCCAGACCAAAATGGATCAGTTTACACTGTTACTCTGTCGGATAACCTTAGTCACGTGAAACATGTCCACCGTTCACTACTAAAGAATAAGGTGGAGTATGTGACTACTTGTCCTCCCAGTACTCCAATCCAACTATTAGAAACTATGCAAGGTGGTGAGTGGTTTTTATTGGTTTATGAACCTACTCCAGCCCCAAGCAATTGCCAACAAAGACAGGAGACCCCTACCTCCTGCATACCAAGTGAGCCAAAACCCTCAACGTCCTCTGTGGTGCTGGTCTGCACCGATCAGCTGCCAGTTACGGCTGGTGTTCAAAATAATATTGCTTCTTCACATAGGACTACTTGTGCTAATGCTGGGACGCACTCGAATCGGCATCATCTGCCCCAGGCAATAGGAAGTAGAACAACAGGGGCTGTGAACTCCCAGGCACCTGTGCCTAATACATCTACCCTGTTTAGACCTCGGCAGTGAGTGTCAATCGT